GTGAGTTATCAAACAAAATGTTTGAATTGTCCCAAAGCAGGGTCATTTTGTTTTTTAATTCGCATCTCTTGAGTATTTCTAAGAATTGCCATAATTTGGTAAGAATTAAAAATAAAAATACCGCTAAATTGCACAAAGGAGAAACGTTTTTTATCCTTATTTCCACTGGTCTGTGTAGTGCTGACTACACTGGGGACATGCCCTGTTCCTCCTTGAAACGTTGGATGCAGGACCAAGCACAGACCCCTTTGAAGAGGCACAGCCAACCCTGCAGAGCAAGCAGCGTTTGTTTCCAGGGTAGTATCCTCGAGGAGGATATTTATTAATGTGCTGCTCTGAGTGATAGAAATAAATTTTAAGCTGAGGATGAAAGGGAAGAGGTTGCAGTATCCTATAGTGATCCACCAGTTTTGTTGCTGTCAATGAGAGTTTTGCAAGAGGTTGATGAAGCCAGGATTAGACCTTTGATCTGTTTGCTCCTGGTATTAGTGCCCTCTGGCTCTATCAAATCAGGCTGATCTAAAAGTTAGAGGGAAACATGGGAAAAGACCTAGCAAGTGGTGTCAAAGCTAGCCACAAGTTTAGCACATCTTTATCCTTAGCAACCCCAGGCCCGGGAAGAGGGGTTGTGCTAGACCTCCTTCTCTGCTAAGCAGCAGCTTCGTAGTTGCATGACTAGGTGGATGATGTAGAAGGTGTTTTCCTAATAACAGGGGCGACTAGCAATCGTGCAGAATTCCTAGAAAGAGGACAGATATCTTAAGCTAATTCTAACTTGGCTGATTTCTCCTTGAACCCTCAATTCCATATAAATGTTCAATCACAGGCACTATCCCAATCGCCTAATAGCCTAATTCTTGTGCCTAGTAGTGTGCTCCGTTCATCCTTGAGCATGGTCCAGGTCTGTGCCTTGGGTTTTTCCAAAGCCTGCTTGATTTGTGAGATAAAGTGTAAAATACTATTACTGCAATGGTAGGATTTTGATGGAGGCTCGAAAAAAGATAACGAAAAGGGCATGGGGTGAGCCAGTTGTTTTCTTGATTTTAGGACAAACTATAGAAAAAGTAAAAACACAATTAACGTGGGGGTTTCTTAAGCTAGCCTAGAGGTGAATAATTTAATATCTTATTGTAAGATCTTAGATACCGGTTTCCCTGTTCAGTGGATGCTCTATCCCACATTGCCCTCTAGCGAGGACGTTGCAGAGCAAATAACGCCTTCCCGCTTGCAGCCGCCAGGATACAAAATGTGGGACTTTAATAACTGGGGGCACGGCTTGTTTCTGAAGTGGCCGTTTGCCATGCGATGCTCATAGCGTGAGGAGGGGCAGCATTCACCTGGCGCAGGTGCCGGGGCACGTACCCGCACTGGCCGCAGCTTTCTTGATGTTTGCTTTTTGTTTGCGCTAACTGCCTCTGTGAGCATCTCCCTGCTGCTGCTGGATTGCTAGCCAGAGGCCCTTGCTCTCTTCTGCTTTGGAAAAAGGGGAAAATATTCCCTTTTTTTTTTTTTTTTTTGGTGAAGGATGATCTTTTTCCACGTTCTCTGCCTTACCCTTTGCTCCATGAAACACACTTCAGTTCTGTGGTTTTGCCTGTATACACATGGTCTGACAACCTTGCCTGTCGTTTGGAGAACATCACGGGACAAACTTCTGTCCCTCTTCAACCCAACAGTGGTACATCCAAAGGTGTTGCCTAGGGGGTTAGAACTGGTCCTTGTCCTTCTGCCTGCTTAGCCGCGTGAGCCTGCGTCAGTGCCAAATGACAATTTTGATGTTCCCAGTTCTCCAGAGCTGTTAAACACTTACAGAAAATCATCAACCAGCAATAGGTTTAAGAAAAAAAAAAAGAAAAACAAATATCTGCTGCCTGTGGAGAGCAGGTCATGCCTGATTCATCCTGTCCTCAAGGTCTTAAACCAGTTCGACGGTGCCCAGAGCTGCAGAGCTGCCCTGCCCTGAGTTGTGGGTGCCTGGAGTCAGCTGTCTGTTGGTCACGCAGTCCTTTTGCTTGCACGCTCAGGTCCCGTCAGGGCAATGGCACAGCGGTTTAGCAGCCCCCTTGGCTCCTTGGTGCCTTTGGGAACCTGTCGCAGCCCGGGGTGCTTTGGTGCCCACAGCAACCGTCCCTTGGAGGGGGTCATCCCTGCGGATGTGAACCCTCGGGCAGCTCTGGAGGAGCAGGTTTCTCTGCCGCTGCCCTCTGCAGTGCCGGGTACCGGGCTCTGGGCTGAGGATCTGGGACTGGGAAAGAGGAGGTGCTCAGGTCTGCCTGGGTTTTCCTTCCCCTTACTCCTTCTAGGGTAGGGAAGTAAGAGCAGAGCAATGTCCAGAGTCCTGCTTAAAGCCAAGGGCTCCTCATCCAAAACATGGGCTCTGTTTGTCACCGCCCCAGGCACTGCTCCAACTGATATGAGGCCCAGTGTGTCCTTACATGCTTGACCATAACTACACAGAAATTCATAATTAATGTTCAATCATCAGAGATTAACCTGATCTTTGATTGCCAGCTTGTTCTTCAGGGTAATAGCCATGGCCCTTCCTCTGCTAGATGCTGTCTGTTCAAACTCTTTGACTAAAAACTTAACAATTTTAGAACAATTTGTTCTAAAAACTTTGATTTCCTGCATGCAAACAGCCATGGGGCGCAACCTGATTGCGCCTGTGGCAGGTACGTGGGCGCAGACAGCACCCTGCCGTCAGTGTGATCCTCCCAGGGGCTGTAGGACCCCCAGTAACACCATCGCGATTGTGTTTGGGGAGCTGGGGTGGGCTGCGCTGTCACCCAGCCTGCTCCACGTGGCACTTGTGGGATGAATGACAAACACTAATGCCATCTAGTGACCAAAAAAAATGCAACGTGGATATTTTATACAATGCCACTGGAAATTTTACAGCCTCAAGTGGGGCAGGCCTTGGGGCTGGGAAGAAGGGAGATGGTGCTGGGTGTGCTGGGAAAAGAAATCCTTTTTCTCTGCTCTCCCGATCTGGCTCTTCAGTCATTTCACATCCCACAAAGTGCTTCTGCAGGTAACCAGGGATGGGGATCTCCCACGTGAGGCTTTATAGATCCCCAGGGGAGCAAGGCACGGGCTTCCTACGCAGCTCTGTTGACTGAGGAGCACAAATTCCCCAATTTACTGCTGGATTGTGGAGCACAAACCCAATGCCCAGGGACAAGGTGACTGCAGGAGGGGAGGTGGCTTGCTGCACTACTGGTGTGGACATCATGAGCAGAGGCTCTGGGGACTAATTTCAGCTGGCAGCAATGGGCTGCAACGCGGTGCCGTTGCTGCAGCTTTGAGCTTAGCTGAGACGGGACAAGGGATGGCAGCTTCTGCCGCTGTCCTGACAGCAGTGACTCGTTACTGCCGCTCATACGACCTGACACTTTTTTTTCCTCCCACCACCTTTGTTTCTCCCTCTTGCTTCTGTAGGTGATAGCTGTGAAGGCATTAACGCGCTGGGTTTCTGTGTGAGTGGCTGGCTGGAGACACCATTGCTTTGTACCTAGTTATTAATCCAGCCAAGTCACGGTGCCACAAACCTGGAGGAATTAGTTTGCGCTCTGCATTTTAAAAATGAAGGTGAAGTTATTTCTGGCCATACCAGTTTATTCTGCTTGGCTAAGCTGCCATCGGCAGGTACATTTTGTCTTGCACAGGGCTGGTGGTCTCCTGGGAATATTGTACAGCTCTGATCATTTCTCCAACTCCTGAGAAATGTACAGAGAGAGAACTTGGGAATTAAAAGTTTCCAGTTAAGGAACTTGAGGGCTAAGATAGCTGCAATGAAGTGCATTACAAACGCACTGAGATGCCAGGCAGCACCCCCAGAGAGATCTGGAGAGAGATGTGGGAAGTACCTTGCTGCCGAAGGAGAGCGAGCAGAGCACCCAGATGCAAATAAGCTTCTTCATGGGATGTTTGAAGTGCAGCGACACCAAGGCTGGTGCCAGCACAGGCTGGCACATCACTGGCTGAGTGTCCTGAAGTGCTGCCCCCCACACCAGGCACACGGGTCCATCAGCAATGCTCTGCCCCAGAGCGAACAAGCAGGCGGATGCTCTGCTCCGTGCTGCTCAGGCTTGCCCCTCCTTCCTTCAGAAAGCCATTTACAAGGGACCTTGGGGACTTTTTGTTGTTTTTCTATCCCAAATCTGAAGGTACCAAATATGTTCCTATTGTCTAACTTACAAATATTTTCTGTTATCTTTGCTACTTCTTTTTCTGGATTATCCTTGTGTCCCTCTGCCTTTCTGCCCTGGATAATTGAGAGTTGGCGGTGTGCCTGTAGCATTCATGTTTCACGGCCAAAAGGGGAGTGAGAATAAATGTTTCTAAATATTGTATCGAAGCAAATAAGTAATTTACTCATAATAGCTCTTCGCCTGGCATTAGACTGGCAATTTCCTGCAGGTTTTGCAGGAGGAGGAAGCAGTTGTGAGAGGCTGGAAGAGCCGTGCACCTTGGGGAATATTTGCCGTGTGGGTACGATGGGGAGAAGAACTTCACAGATTTTGAAGACTGCTCCTACTTCTCTAAAGGGACTTTATCCAGCAGTCTGTGACAATGCTGCATTTCATAGATTTGCTGGCCCTAAATTCTGAAAATATCCCTATCTACCAGGAATTTAGCTGGAGGTGGCAAAAGTAAAGACTTCCCTGGGGGGAATAAGGCAGGTTTGTTTTACCTTGTGCTTTTGAGTAAGATATCTTTTAGAGCAGCCAGCCGACCAAAACACAGTATACGTCCACACTGTCTTCTCAGCTCAATAGAAATCCTTCAGCATTATCACGGCTCCATCTATTCTTTTTCCTGAAGAGATATTGAAAAGCAAAAAGCATTTAGGGTGCTCTTTTGCCTGAAGCATTCAACACAGAGACATATCCCTATCTATTTGGCATCAGGGCAATAGCATCTCGCAAGAGACAAACAGAACAACTTGCAATGAATAACCTGAGCCTAATACTAATTTTCTCTTTTCTCTTTCCTTATAGGGATCCTGTTTACGATGCTGGTATTTGGACCAGCCTGTGGATTTATCTTGGGCTCCTTCTGTACCAAAATCTATGTGGATGCTGTATTCATTGACACAAGTAAGGAAAACTGGGTTTGGTTTCAAATCAAATATGCTAATGTTGTATCAGCAGGACAAAAATGTTGACACTCACAAGCAGGAGATTGCTTCTTGTTCCATCTTGAGTGCTTCTTGCATGTATAGGTGTCACTTTTAGGATGTCGCTTTTAGGGTGTCACTTTTGACTGGGATTCAAAAGTTTTCAACTCTGTCCCCATAGATAACAGATTTGTAGTAGCTAAAATTTGTTCCCTTCTATGGGCTTTCTACTATGAGATAATTTTCAGTCCATGTCTTAGAGGACACTAAAATATCACTGTGGCAGGGCACAGCAGCTAGCCATGGACGACATAGTCTTGCCAAGGGAGCTGTGGCCAGAGCACAGGGTGAAATCCAGAGAGCTGCCATCCACAGGACCCGGGAGGACCATCTAGGCTTTCTGATGGAGGCACACCAGTAAGACCCATGCCTGGCACCTCCTGTGAATGACCCTGGTTGGATGAACAGGTTCAGTCCCACAGCATTATTGCTTTTTCCCAAAGCAGTGCTAATTATTGCTCGCCTTGACTCTGCACTTGGGTTAAAGCAAATTGTTTGCAAATTGTCTTTTTGTTCATTAAAAAAAAAAATCTGCAAATTCTTTTATTGCTACCTGCACTTCGTGCTCTTTGCCATTAGAGGGCAATGTGTGACAGGCTGTTCTCCACTGCTCCCCAAGCCCTTTGGCTGTAGACTGCAAACCTGATGCTTCATTCTTTTCCCTTAGTTGTTCAGGTGCTTTTTCTACATTTCTCAGCTCCATCTGATCCCACGGGCTCTTATCCTGCCGCAGGTGTGTTGTCCCCTTTGAGGATGTGTTCCAGTTCTATGATGTTGCAAATACATCTTCACAGGATGCGTTTGGATGGAGTTGAACCTTGCAGGACTCAGAACAGAATTGTGCAAATCTGGAAAAGTGCTGCTGCCTTTTCTTGGTCTCACATGCACATGGCAGCTGAAGAAATATAAATAATATCAAACGAGCAGGAAAGAAGTATCTTTTTTGATGGTTGAGACTATTAGCTGCGGCTTGGTCAAACACCACATGGCCCCTTTTCATTTCTTGGCTTTAGCAAAGATATGCCAAAGACTCACTTGGTCCTGTAGACAGAGGAGCTTGTTTGAACCCTGTTACGTATTTGACCATTAAGTATAATTTACTCTAAAATATGAATGTGCAGAAGAAGATCTTTCTTTCCTCAGTAGGTGAAGCTGTGGAACTCCTCACTGTAGGGTGTTAAAAGTCTACAAATGGATTCAAAAGCAATTGGACAAATTTATAGAGGAAAAAATGAACATGACACCAAATCTAGCTTAGAAAGCCCCTGAGCCACAAATCGCAAGAATCATCAGGTATATGTTGACTTTATTCTTGTGGGCTTTCTGGGCATCTGCAGCTGGTTACCATCAGAGGCAAGATACTGGCCTAGCTAAAAAGTTAACTTGATGTGATCTGGCCATTTTAAACACAAGACATTGCTTCGCATTTACAGCTCAAAAAGCCTGCGACAAATACGGAGCCACGGAGGAGAACGGTGGAGTGTTATCACTGAGCAGTGTGGAGGGGCTGTGGCTCAGCAGGTCATAGGGAGGGTATAGCGCTCTCCAGCTGCAGGTCCAGCTGGCTTTATCTGTGGTCCATCGCTGTCAAATGAAGGCTGGGGCACGCATGGCCTCTGTCTATTTTTGTATGGG